TGCTCCACCCCACAGGGAACAATATCCAGGAAGCTGAAAAATCGCACTTACCTTGCCTTTGGAATTACTTGGAACCATAGGCTATCTGAACCACCCCAGAGATCATCTCCAGCAACAATTGCTTCACCTACATTTGAGATTGGTTGTATGTGTAAATGTGATAGAGCCCTCAACTCTAATAATCTTAATAACCAACAAAAACTAGAAATAAGCAACAACAACAATAACGTGGCATGGCACTTATAATACTAGTGCTTCCAGTCCTCTATATAAGAGTTATTTGACTAATTTGAGTATATTAAAAAAATTAGTTAAATTAGTTATTTATAATAAATAGGTGTTGTCTTTCTTAAAATACCATTAGTTAGAACTACTATTTAATGAAATATTTAACATATGCAATTGTTATAATGACTGTTTGGAAAAAAAAAAGACAAATATGAGAAACAAAATCGATTGATGTCTTGTATTTAGAACTAAATTGAATATTAAACAGGTTCTTATGTTGAGAGTAGGAAATAGTATTGCTGAATAATAAAGTCATATTACAAGGGAAATAATGATTCAAGTCAGATTACTTAATTTATTACAGCAGATGTCAAAATGACACTAAAAGCAGTCATTTCGGCATACATGATCTCTAATTAAAAATATAAATATTGAGACACGCGCGAGTCATCTCTGTTATAGTTATATAATGAAATATATATATATATATGTATATATTAAAGTATGCGTAGATTATATTGGGGAAGTGTATATATTCGCAACCTCCTAGATACTATAGTCTCAGACCTTAATAAATTCTTGAATTATCTGAATGTCATCTCCGACGTGGTATTGAAAGCTTATGAGTTGATTGTTTCTCCATTCATCGAGTCACAAAGAAAACAACCATAAGGTATAGAATTTAAATATTGATATATTGAGTATTAAAAAAAATGATACATTTAGTCTTATTTTACAATAGTTTATTTATATTTTGAATTAATAGTATTTTTATAAACATTCCCCGTAATTGTAATTTAGTCAAAACATAAAATCACTCGTTTACTCAGAGCACAAAACCATCAGAGAGCGGCATAAATCAAATCACTCTGCTTTTAACAATACGATAATCAGGCATGTTAAATTTAAAAATAACTTTTCAAAAGAATTTTTGACTTTTGGACAAAACAAGCTCCAAGAAAGCCTCAAAATTTACCCTTTTTTACTGAAAACGTTTTTACTGTTGATGAAGATGAGGATTTTTATTTAGGTTGATTGACAGTTGATTACGGCAGAATTAGCTGAAAACCAAACCAAACAAATCATAATTTTTAAAAATAATTTTACGAAATAAAAAATAAGCTGAAAATTTTTATTTAAGTTCGGTAAAAATATTTTTTGAAAAATGATTTTTATGCTAACCAAACACGCCGTATGCCTGATTGATTCCATTTGAAGACAAAACTTTGCGATCCTGGAAGCAAGGGGGCGGGACCTCGAGGGCTGAGTGCGGGTGATGGCGGCGAACTTGCAGAAGATCGAAGGGGATGATTCAGTTTTGCTGCGCGTCACCCATTCAAATATTAAGACCTTCTCCACTGACATTCGATTCTCGCTACAGGTTTGTGTCACTTCACGAACCATTGCCATCCACACTAGCCTATCAAATTCTTCTTCATTTCCGTTATTTGAAAACGTCACTCACCTGTTTCGTAGACGTCAGTCGAATCTGTAAAAGAGAAGCTCTGGAAAAAATGCGGTACTTCGGTGAACTCGATGCACCTCGAGCTCTATGACGACGCAAACTACAAAATTTCCGATCTTACCGACAATTCTAGACCCCTGGGGTTCTACTCACCTCTGGATGGGTCAGTATGTTTTATTATTATTATTATCATCATCTTTCTTCTCCCCTTTTACATTTTACTGTTATTCAGTGATGATATAAAATTACGATTATGCGGAAGCCAAATTTGTTGCAGTCATACCTCGAATATGTATTAATTTAACATTTTTTCGAGTTACTCTATGTTAACTGCGTCGAGCTCAGGGTTGAGGTCGCCCTGCTGCCATCTCCAGTAGAGCCCTCTTTGTTTATCCTGTTGCAGCATTATGTATGTTCTCTATCTAGTGATCCTTCTTTGGTGGTTTGTTCCGGTTCTCATGTTTTGCTGTCACCTTTTACTATATTTTTCGGGGGCAAATTTTGAAATGCGAGGGCTTCAAGTGTTTCTCTGTTCAACTGTTATGGTCTCCCATGTCGCAGCGTCCTAGGTGCTTCAGTTGTCAAATGCATGCGACATTGCTTTGAGAAATATGTTGCATTATGATTGTTCATGTTTGCTATGCTATGTAATTCTCAAAAGCACCATTTTGTTGTTTTCTTATACTTCTAGTTTTTGTTACCATCTTGTTCTTTACATCGTCAAAAAGTTAGCATAGACATTTGGTTTATGTATCTGATCGGCTTCTATGCATTTGCTGCTGGGGCAGGTTTCGTTTGCATGTTATAGATCTTGATCCATCATCTGTCACTTCTGGTGGTTGGCTGGAAGATACTTCATTGGTGGAGAAATACACGATTTCTGAAGAAGCTTATAATAAGCGTGAAGGTATGTTATCTTATCCATTTGAATGAAGTTCAGCTTTTATCCAAAAAAACGTACTCTGTACGTGTATTTATATTAGACTTGGTTAACATTGAGATAGTTGAATAAGAGGTGAAAAATATGTTGCCAATCAATGAAGTTATGATGAAGAAATTATTCCATAAAAATTGACTATTAGTGGGTGATATGTGTTTTATCTTATGCTTTTTCAGGAACTTTTAGAAAATTTAAAGAGAAATTGTCTTCCCAAAATCCATCAACTGTTGCGGCAAAGGTAAGTGTTTGGTTGATTTATCCCTCTTATATGCTGTCAAAATGCTCTCCAGGAGTAATTTGCGTGTTTAACATAAAGATAAGACTACGTTGGAGTTCCGCATGTTCATTATTATCTTTAATGGAAATGGATCATATCTGCCATCTAGAGGACTATCTGACACTTACAATGATTGGCCATTTCATTGCACAGGTGCCAGACACCTCTCTGGAAGACCTCCGTTCAAACATTAAGGTCAGTCAATTATCTCTCTCTGTCTCTCTGGGTTGCTATTCATTACAACTGCTTTATGGAATTTTTAGTCTGAGATGAGCTTTAGCACATGGATGTGGCAAGTGAAAATAGGTGGAGTATAAGAGTGGGCAATTGATTAGTATAGTGTAATGTTTTGATTGTCCTTTCGTTTATTATCCTGTTTAATAACTATAAAAAACAAATTGACTAATATTATTTTTGTTAAGACCACAGTTGATATAATTATTGAATGACTTGTTAGAGTAGAGCTTAATCAGCTTAGAATTTTTATGAGCGCACACACTTGCTGTGATATTTTACTACCAATCATTAAAAATTTGTGCCAAGTATTAACTGCTTCTCGTATAACCAAAGAGTTGGTGACTGATAAAATCAGAAGCTGGTTGTATGCTGTGGCAGTGTGGCTATTGTCGTCTGAATTGTGTAAATATGTTTTGAGTCACACTTTGTTGGATATCTTGAGCCATGAATGTTTTCCTTTGGACACATCAATTATTGCATGCCTTCCTTTTTTTCAGTAGATGCATGTTTTCATTTTTATTCTTTTTCTCCAAAGAGATAAACTATGCATCTTGTCATTATTTAAATGTCATTCAGATCATTTAATTATCAAAACATTGACTATAACGATGATCTTACTCCTCTCTTGAATTTCTAAATATTAAGGTAGGTTCCAGATGTGAAGTTGAACCTGGGGAGAAACGGGGTGTTGTAAAATTTGTTGGCCAGGCAGAAGCATTGGGTCCTGGCTTGTGGATTGGAGTACAGTATGATGAACCCTTGGGCAAACATGATGGCATGTAAGGCTTCTATTTTTGCGCATCATATGTAGAAACCTCTTGTCTAAGCTCAACTATTGAGTTTGCTACTGTTAGATTATTTTCCCCTCAAGTATATCGGGCTACTCATTAGCTTCCTATCAACTTCATATTTTCCTGAATAAATTGTAAACATTTGTTTCTTTTTCAGTAGTGAGCTCTTCGGTTCTCCCCCCCCCCCCACCCCCCAAAAAAAAGAAAAAAGAAATTGTTTTCCCCTTTAAATATTAGACAGACTCTCAAATATATATAGTGGAGAGATCCCAAGATTCACATAGGAAATAGTCTAAAATTTAACTATCAGTGACACATGCTTAATGTAAAGGGTTTATTCCATTCATTGGACAGTTCTTACACAGGCATGTCACCTATTTGTACTTTGGGGATTTTCTTTGATTGTGTCCTTTGGGGATTGAAGATGTGATTACAGCAATCATGTTGCTGACACATCAATCTAATACTACCCCCGATCCTAAATGTGAACTTCACTTTGTAATGCAAATTGCAGATAACACACGCACCTGTCATTTTGTAACATGAAGTTTATTTAGTTTTCGTGCGTATATAATTTTGCAGCCACGCCTGCATGCCTTATCAAGTTATGATGTCTATCGGTCATGTTATGCTGCAGGGTGAAGGGAGTACGCTACTTTGAATGCCCTCCATCTCATGGGGCAATGGTTAGAGCAGAGAAAGTAAAGGTTGGTTCTTAACCATGTTGTAGTGGATTTCATTCATTGCCAGCTAGGTTTCATTCTTGCACACGAGATTGGTGTTCGAGTTTGTTTTTCTTCTTTTCCTTAATGGCCCAGATGCTTTAGTCCGAGATTTAACATATCAATCTTCTCCTTTTTCAGGTCGGTGATTACCCCGAACGGGATCCGTTTGAGGACGAAATATGACCGTGGTTTTTTTCATTTGGACCTGAAAAGTTGAGCACATTTTTCTTATCTTTTTCTTGAGCATCTAAACATTGCGGATGGAAACGCAACTTTCTTGAAGTTTCTGGGTGGCTCATGGGTGAGGATTATTTTCCCCGGAAAGAAAAAAAAAAAGAAGCTCCAATCTCACCGCATGCTTGTTACAAGATATCCACTGTATTTTACTTCCCTCAGCTATCATTTGTCCTGCACAGCTGTTGGGCTAACTACTAATGTACTTCACTTTTCTGCCTTTCGACGTAGGTTTATGTTAGGTGCATATGTTATAAAAGATAAAATACTACTGATGCTCAGCAAAACTCAAAGTGAGATGATTACAAAGGCTTTAGTTATACAATTGCATCCCAGCCTGTGAAGGGGAACCACCAGGAAAAGATGAAACCGTTCGTTGTTCAACATTTATGTACAGCATCGTGAAAATAGGGTTCCACATTGCGTCCAATTCACATTCAAATCGTCTCCGTTAGAAACTGATGAACATATATTCCTCGTCAATAAAGGCAAAAATAAACGCCCGCGAATCATGTACTTCCACCTAAAAGTCTTCCGGCTCATCCAAAATAACCTTCCTGTATGAGCATAGAAATTTTCACATCCGTTAAAGGACACTAAGTGATTCAGGAAACACAAATTCTTACATATTCTTTCGATTACATGTACAAAGGTAGCAATCTGAGTTCCTAAATCATCCGTTAAAAGCTTTAGTCTGTGAGGGAAAAATTACTTGAGCATCAACATTTTGAATTACGGGATTTTAGTATTTATTTCTTACAATAAATGAAGGAGAAACTGACTTCTCATGTAACTCAAGTCTGGAATTCTCTAACCCCATGGAAAGCCGTTTTAATTTATCGGTTAGCCAGAATAAGTGAAGGGCGAACACATTATTACATTGTACCATTTTTCAAAGCTCACTACGGTCATGAACACAGACGGACAAGCGAGATCAGAAATTAGCACTTTGCAAACAGAGAGCCATACCTTCTTGCTCGAGTAGTTCGTTTTCCAGTGTTGTCACCCTTTACCTCCTTCATGGTGCTTTTCTTTGTTCTGGACCGGCTTCCTCCTATGATAATTAGTTTCGTCAGTCATGGATAATCAATATGCCCATATAAAACGTTGAAGTGTAAGTTGCACGGTTCACATGTCATGAATAATGTGCGTGGAGTTCGTCGTAGTTATAAGAACAACCAAGAAGAAAAGTTTAAATGCTTAAACGGTAAAATACCTCTCTTACTGACCAACGGGGATTGAACTTCGATATCCCCTCCATCAGACTCTGTCAGCTCACTTGAAATAACAGAATGTTCTTCTGAATCAGTGTGTTGGCTTTTCAATTTATGATTCTTAGACAAAGCCATCCTCTCACTGCATGGGTCGATAACTTCACCACCTGCTTCCTCTGCTTAATAATCAAGGTTTTTCAGCAACAAAATACTAGTCGGTCAGTAAAAACAGCACAAGCTGCATGAAACTTGTACAATTTTCAAATACTTTATATCCAGTAAATTCATGCTGATTATGGAGAAGATTTTCCCAAAAATTATGACAATGCAGTATCATATTCGCGCTTATAATTTCATATGCTCATCATCGTCACCAACATGTCTCTTTAAATAACTGCCCATATATAATTGCGTTTGTGGTACTTACAAGTTTTAAACGGTAGAAGGCTTCATTCCATCGTTTTATAAAGGTTGATCGCTCGACATTGAAGAGCGCATGTTCACACGTGAAAGTTATTTCACATACATGCAAATAATATTTTCTTTTGCGATTAGTATCAGGTAATCACTACTTATTGATAAAATTCTTGTGGTGGATCCTACCAATCTATCTTGGTTTCACCTAAATTTAATTTTTGGGATAGACATCCCGTCTTATTCCAATCAATCCTTCAAGCTAAACCTACATAATGGGAGACAACAAAAACGAAAGAGCGGAAACTTATGCTGGAAACTGGGGGCTGCAAATAACTTAATGGGCGGTCAGTCATTCGACTCAAGCAGAGATTATGTCAAGGATTATTGTTTGTAAAGTCGGAGATAAATTATAAAGGCAGAGAGATGCGGAAACAGACTGATACGCAAGGAAACATGAACTTGAAAAGAAAATTAGAGCTCATGGACAATTATAGATATCTCTGAAAATTTAGGGAAATTAAGAGGATAATGACGGACTTTCAAGTTAGTGGAATTAACCTGTAGTAATATTAGATTCTGTATGGTCTTCAGCATCTAAGGCCGCAGTAAAGCCTTCCCGTCTGCCGATCTTCCGTTGATGAATGTGGGCGTTTCTAGCAGTAACTTCTTGTTCCTTCACTTCCATATGGAACTTGTGTAGTTTATCCTCGAACTCTTCAATACACGATTTAAGCTCTGGTTTTGCAAATTTCTTGCCCTGATTTCAATTGAGAGTATACAGAGAACAAACTCAGCCATTATAAAATAATAAATGCCAGGGAAGCGGAACATCATTATCCTTTTCGCCGGAGACCAAATTATTACCTTGTTTATTATGTTCCTAAAATGATCAATAACAGACTCCTCTGACAAGGCATGTTCATACGTCTTAAATAACTCAATGAGTTTCTTCATCCCTTTTTCTGTAAATGCTAGCTGAGAAAGGCAGTAAGAAAGATGTTCCCATTGTCTGACATCTGCAAAGGTAAAAAGCTACATTTATCTGTAAACAAGAAATTAATTTCTATTTCTTTCTAATTTAAAGTAAATATCAATGCGTAACAAGGCAAACAGCAGTTGACCAGAAAGTGAATCATGAAAAATATTATATTAAAGGCAATGATTGTTTATTACATCATGGGAAAGGAAAAGAACCAAATAGAAGAAAACGTCTGTAGTTTATATCACCTTTCAGCAAATAAACAGGATTGAAACTTGAAGATAGTGGGTGAGATCATTTCAGACTGAAATTCATATAAAACTAGTGACCTCGGTTCTTCATTATCGCAATTGTAATACTGAAGGAAAAATTTCCCCCATAAAACAATCTCAGAAACCACACAAGTATAAACATTATCGGGCCTTAACTTTCGTAACAAACAGTTTATCCTTTGCTGGCTAATCACCACCTGCGACTTTGCTTACTAAATATTAACAGGGAGTGTCAAGATATTGTCAGGAAATGAAAATACCTGTAACACCATTAAACCTATTGCATAGCTTTTCCACAAGAGCATCCATTTGTTTGTCCTGAAAGAATTCAATAGAACTCGTGAATATTACAGCCAGAAACGTCAATCAAAATTACTGAACATTTAAAATATCCCGTACCTTCTTGATCGAAGCAATTAAAAATTGCATGATGTTGCAGAAAGAATCCTTGGTAAGATTCTGACTGGATAACTTGCTGAGTATATCAGGAAGTAAATTATAAATTGGATTGCTTCCTGATGGCATGATGAGAAGAGATAAATTAGATGCCATTTTCCTATAGAAGGGAACATTAGAAGAAAATAATAGGATAGCAGTAGTATAACTTTTTCCTCACAAGGACAACTCTTCTGTATCTAAATATGCACATATACCCTGCCTGCTTGACATTCTAAATAATGATTTATTAAATTTGGATATCTTCATCCAACACTAAATATGACTGCGAACAAGGCACGGCGCTAATACACTATTGTAACTTACAATTTGCATTTAAGAGTATATATAAAGAATTATTAAAGTAGAAGAGGAAAACCTTTCTTGGAAAGTTCATGAAAAAATAGCTTAGCGAGACTTGAAATTCTCTTGTCTTCATCCTCTAATCTCACAGCCATTTCGTTGATGTAACCTTTTACCTGAGCAACGACACATCAGATTCACTTTAACAGCAAAAATTGAAAAGGGAAACAAAGTTACAGCAACATCTACCTTCATCATGTCATTCAGTATGAGATGTGAAAGCACCAGAACAGCATTCTTCCTTACAGAAACGCAAGGATCTTTAAGGCGAGCATACATATGCTCTGTCCATGGTTCTAAAAGATTGGGAAACCGAACTGCTAAGTCACCCAGTGCAATAGTACAATTAGAACGAACAGTCTCTGAATTAGCACCTTCGACAACAGTGAATAGGAGCTGGAGATTTGCATCACTGAAAACGAATCACTAAGAAAACTATTTCATTCTCCACAAAACATCAATAACTAGGAAAGTGGATGTGGGGGAAAGGTAGCAAGGAACTCACCAAAACTCTGCATCAATAATCATGAATCGACATAAAGCTAACATTGCTGACGCCTGCAATTCTGGGTACTGAATACATAGAAGTTACATTAATGAGCAGGAAAATTGATTGTCACTTTCGGAGTAACATGAAGATTTGAAAAATGTAAAGCAGCTGCATTATAGTATTCTGATTTTCAAAAATTCAAGTAACTTCTCATCACTTCTGCAATAATATATGACATTTCATCTTTGTTAAGTTTGCTCATCTCCATCTCTAGACGTTCATTTACTGTAATCCAAAACGCTACAAAACTTTTGGTAGCCAAATGCATTGGTTGTATTTTACATCATATCTTACTTTTGGTGCTGGAAACCAAGAAGTTGGGAAAGCGAGAAGAGCTTAAAAATATTAAGGCAATCACCTTCTGCATCAGTCCAAAATTTCTACAAAGCTTGGACAAAAAAGTCGCGCAGATTCCAATCAAATTCTTTTCACCTGAACAACCAGAAATGATTTCCTTCTCTGCTTTTTCAAACAAAGCATCAAGCACAGCGTCCTCAGAAGCGGCCAAACCTAACTCTTGATTTATATCATTGTCCTGCAACGCATTATGCAGACAACTCTTCAGAAAGCTGAAAAGTAATAGATAAAATTATCAAGGAAGAGAACATAACCGGGGGGAAGAAAAAAACTCTTACACACCTTTTGCATAGCAGATGGAGCTGCCCCATTGCAATCTATACTCTGATTCTCAGCATCCATTTTTTCCTTCGCTATTTTCTGTTTCTGAATTTTTCTAGAACACGATTCAATATATACTAGTTGATTCATGGCAACATGACTTGTGACAAACAAACACCTACTTAGTTTTGCCACTTGAACGGTAGTAAGCATGCTGACTTCAGTGGGATCACTGTCATTCTGCAGACCATCCGCGCAATCATTAAATACGGAATTCAGAGTCTTTCTAACCAAGTCAGCAGCTATGGCTTCTGGGGTAGGATGAATTGCATATATGGCAGCTATCGCTCTGTCAGCAGCAGCATACCAGATATTTCCTGGAAGCCAGGAGCCCGTAATCAAACTTTCCAGAATACCAAATATCCGAGCACCACTAGTAACCAACAATTTTTTCTTGTCATCATCAGACAGTCTCTGGATAGCAAGACATGCTGTCCTAGCAAGCAAAGGATCAACTTTAGCCCAACGACCAAACCCAATATCAATGATGTCCTGTAAATGTGAGCCAAGGACACTGGCTGATGAATTTGCCACCATGCAAAGAACAGATAAAGCACCACGGCTATGCTCCGCGGTGGTTCCACTAATATTGAAGCAAAATATATCCCACAAAGCTGATATCTGAAACAGCAAAGACATGAAATTAATTAATGGGAGCTAAGCCTGATAATGGGCATAAAAAACTAATTTGACCAAGAAAAATAAGGCATCTGTAAGGCTATTTAAATCAGCAATCGAAGCTCATGGCCAGCGTCAACAATCTTAAAGTCCTGCTTTTCAGTAAACAAGAAGTGTATAGCAAACAACACTGTCTGTCATATAACATTAAACAGTAAAAGACAATACTAAAGCCCGGAGGCTGTCAAATTATTTAAGCAATATATTACTTAATTAAAAACAACAGAAGAAAACATACAGTGCTGGAAGATAAATCACCCTTGGAGACCAGTGCACCGATTATAAACTCAAGAGCTGCTAGATCCCCTATATTGGAATCAGTGACAAGACTCGCGAGATTCTTTGCAGTTTCAACAGGGTTCTTCCTAATATAAATAGTATTGAAAGCGTTCTCCACTGCTTCATAGATGGATTTATCTTGGGAAAATACCTAATACCAGAAAGAGTTAATTGTGGAAAACGATATCATCCGAGCCATAAACAAGAAAGAATGGAGAGCTTACCAATGGCAACATTTTCCGTAGACATTCCTCTGAGCCATCAATTTGAAACTGTCTACACCTCATCAACAAGAGAATTGTATTTTCAACGTCAGTAGCGGAGGATGAAGCCATCAATTGGACAAGGGTAGGCATCGTCGCACATATACATTTAGAGAACCGTAGTCCAGCCTCAAGCGATGCTACCAATGCCCTTGTCTGCTCCAGATTCCCAACATCCGGCAGATTACTATCTTGCAAAGCAGTCACCTCTCCTGGCTGCGACATACAACTATCAGTTAAACTGTCTTGATGCTCCTTCTCAACAGGTCCAGGATTTAAATTGTCGACTTCACCGTCACCAAGACAGTTATCACCATCACATGGTAAGTCATCAGTAACATTTTCTGAAGGCATAGCTGGCTCAAGCTCATTTAATCTCTTTTTGTACTGGTCTAGGGTTGCTTCAAATGAAGTTATTCGGAGCTGTGGACCAAATGGGTTGTGCTGCAGCATCATGATCAATAGGTTTAAAGCAGATTTCCTGACAATTGCACTCTTGTCCTCCAATCTACCAGCAGCAACCGACGCGACTTCATTCCACAAACCAATTGAAATACAATGCTCTTCGCATAATTCAGCCCATACCTGGAGAACTCGACTTCTTGTATAAGCTGACACATCTCTACAACGCTCAAGTAAGATTTCCAACATAGCTTGCTTAGTACGCAGGCGAATAGATTTTGAGCTCACTTCACCCTCAACGTCCTTAAATGCCTTTGCTATCAACTTTCCCAGCACACCAACAAGAGCGTTTCTAATCTTGTAGGATTCACCACCAAAGTGTGGAATGAGAATGCCAATATTAGTGGAAACTAGCTTAGGAAGGCGATCAGCTAGCTCAACGAGAAAACGCCCCACATTTTCAGCCCCAACCGTGTCCCTTACATAATCTTTTGGATTAGTCCTTCCAATCTCTCTAATAAGAGAGATGGCCATACTTCCGTCTGCATACTTCTTCTCAGCATCCGCGACTGCATCAGCCATGTGGGCAACAACAAAATCATGCCTGTGAATCAGGTGCATAATGGATGCACACGATTGTGCCATGTAATGGTACTTTGTAGAGCAAGCCCCAATAATACGACATAGAGCTTCTTTTGCTTCAGAATCTTTAAGGAGCGTTGGTTTCTCAAACAAAGAGAACGCATTTCTATAAAAAGGAAATGTCAAGTGAGGAGGCTTCCACTAAAAATTCACTAGGAAGGAAATACATCTATCTACCTGCAGAACTAAGAGATAGATCTCTTACTTTGTAACAAAAGACAAATAATTGTCATCCGGGTCAGATGAACCAAAAAGTAGTTCAAGGTTGATCTCCAGTGAATTAGCAATAAGGCCAAGTATTCGGCCTCTCTGTGCCTCCCAATTCCACGAATTCACGGGTTGTTTCTTCCTGTGAGTGCTAGCCGTCACCTGAATTAACATTAAGATGCTTCAATTGACTGTGACAAAGGGATGCATGTATCGCTAACTAAAAAAAGCAATGAACTTGTGATGATTTTTGATAAAAAATGGAAATTAGTGAAATGCAAAACCTTCACACTGTTGTTCGAACCACTGTCGGACTCTTCGGCGAGAACTATGTTTAGGAGGAAGTATGTATATATTTTAAAAGCATTGCGATGAGAAGCAACGCGATCTAGTGCTGAAATCTCTTCATCCTGACCTTGAGACACCCTTAGGAGCGAGTCTACATTAGGTAAAAGCACGCTAACATTGGAACGAAGACTTTCGACGATATTCAACTTGCAAGATGGAGAAAGACTGCCATAACTCCGAACCAATGAGTACACCCGATCAAAAATATCTTGGTCTTCAACACAGAACAATTCTTTATCGGAAAGATCAAAGGACACGCCTGTTTAGACGAATAAGCTGATAATTAAGTTCTGCTAATCGAAGATTTATCCGTTAAGCTGAATCCATTATACACACGGTTCAGGTCAGAGGACTTATTTATTCGTTTGGTAACAAAAACCGAGCGGTGCTGAATCAAATTAGATCACAGTTTATCGTGGAACAGAGAATTTCGTGTAGAATAAAATTTGGATCTGTGAAACGCGGTGAAGGAAAGAACCTGACCTTTGACAAACTCTTCGACTTCAGAGGCGCGAAGTGAAGAAGTGTCCACAAGCTTTCTGACGCAGAGGCGGTCATCATCGTGGTCTTCTTCGAGTTCTTGAAGAGTACGGGGGAAGACGAAAGGAGGAGCCATGGAGATTGGAGGAGAGAGCGAGGTTTTCTCTGTTCTTTTCGTTCCAAGCACGTCAGTTTCTTCGGGCGAGGCGTGACCTCCAAAATTCAAATGCAGGTGAACAGTCTGAGCGGGAAATTTTTGTTGTCGCACAGTTTCATATAAAAATATAAAAGAAAAAAGACCAGCCCCAGAAAAATTAAAAAAATAATCAAGTTATTTTTAAAATTTTAGGTAGGTGGGATGGGGGAGAGAAGCCGATGACGGAGAGAGTAAAAAGAAGAGGAAAGTGATTAGTGAGAGAGAGACGCGTACCTATTTCAGTGGAGAACAAAAGACGACGACGAACAGAGGCGAGTAGCGAGTATGACTATGGAGAGTGTCGCTCACGTAAGTGGAAGGCAAGCGGAGGTTGAAGGGGTAGAGGGAGACTGCGAGAGGCAGGTCGGAGGCGGACAATGTGAGAAGGCGGCGGCGACAAGGAAAGGGAGCGCTCCTTCGATCCCGCCCATTTGACAAGTTTCAAAAAATGACAGACAGATGGCAAAAAGTTGCAAAAAGGTTAGAAGTGACATCATAATGCGAAACACGTAACTGGAAATAAAAATTGCCTTTCACCCCAAAAAATATTGCCTCGTAACAGCGATAGAAGTAAAATAATGGCTACATGTTATTCAAACGCCCAATGTTTACATGACCCTGTTTGGCATGATGTTAAAAATCACTTAAAAACATATATTATGTAAATTCAGATAAGATTTTTTTTATATACTTATTTTGTATTTAGTAAATTACGATTGAAAAGTTATTCCGAGTGGGCCTATATTGATATGTTGCCTTGTAACGTGGATAGCTTCATTACATTGATAGGTCAAAATTAATAAATTAAAGACAATTTTGAGAAGAACCATGGTTAATTAAATTTCTTGATGAATCAATTCTAAACTCTAAATTTTAAAACTCAGTTTTATAAATCTAGTCATCTTATCATCCATTATTTGGTAAGTTCATTTTATTTGTGAGATTTCTTACATTAAATTTAAGTCCATTCATACTCTAACGTCCTAACAATTAATTGCTCCTTTGGGCGTGAGTCCATTAACTCTCACACATTAAAAGTATCACATATATAAACTCCCAATTTTCGCAATCCAGGCTAGCTCAGTTTTCATGTTACAAACAGTGTGCCGCATAAAGTTTATGCCACAGACAAAACAAAATCACTATCATCTTTAAACTTCAAACGTGTACAGACTTTCCAGATCAACAAAACGTGCACAAACTTTCAATGACATCCCCCCCCCCCGGCGGGGGGGCGCAGAGATGACGAGACCTTGCCAATACTACTTGCTATAACTTAAATCCTTCAACTTTACTCTACTTTAATTTGAGCTCACGTAATGATTGATTCGGACTAGTAGGTTAGGATTATTAGCATGGATTACATTCATGCCAAATAACAGTCTCAACGTTATGTTTATTTTCTTGTTATACAGAAATTTCTTGGAAAATTCTACCCTTTACAAGAGTTTTTGGCTTTTTGCCCACGGTATTATTTCATCATCGGTTTCTCCCCGTTTAAACCAAAAAAGAATCAACATCTTCGAGCTTAATATTCAAATTGCCCATTCCAAATACTACAACAAAGACTTAACAAAATGGTAGAAGGTGCCAACCCCAATACTAGTTGGACCTAACTCAAAGTCTAAAGAAATAAATAAATTGCATTTTTGTCTGTGAAAAAACTTTTACCTTCACCCCGATGTTTTTTCCCCTTGCCGCGTGGTTAAACAAATAATCACCCATCCATGAACTGTGCATGATTGAGCGAACTGGCCAACGCGGCGCGCAAAATAGAATTTGCGGTTCTAGAGGTTTGGTGAGGCAATCGAAATTCATCAATCATCCAATACAGAAGCCCTCGGAAGCAGTTTTTTCTAAAAATAAAGTCGTCAATCATTCGACCCCTTTATCCTTTGCCACATGGGTTTGTTCTCGGCATCTATTCATCAATTTCTGGCTCTTCCTTGAGAAGCCACCGCGGGTGGAGCTGAATATGGCGGTGCCATGGAGCATGAGTCTCTGGATGGCGAAGATGGTGTGGATTGCTTTGAGTGGGTGGGTATCTTCGTGCTTGACTGTTGCTGACGAGGTTGCTAGTTCTCTTCGATCCGGTGATATTGGCCCCTTCAACGTTGGATGATTCAAAAACCTAATTCACCTTTGCTTCGGCCCTGGTTCGTCTCACGAAGTCATTTTTATGCTTTCTCTTACTCGGTTTTTTCTGTTTCTGAAACTACAATCGTTCAATTAGCTGAAAGATTCATTGAACAAATTGACTGCGCTTCCTTTACTCCACTATATTTCAACCATTGCCATTAGCTAGTTTTTTAAATGCACTGACATAAGAGACCAACTCAGTATTGAATTGTTGTCTTCCCTTTTTTCTTTGTGGCTGCTGCGGGCATTTAACTCTGCCTCCTATTATTTCTGAGTTGGCAGTGAAAGATTGGAAGAAGCTGATGTGATTACAGAATAGTTGAGCGGTGATTTAGTAAGTTCACCCCTATGTATTTATTTTGGTGGCCTCTATGGGCTATGGTATAGTTTTCAATCCTTAGTGCCAGGTCCAAGTACTTGTAACTTGGAGTTAGGGGGTCCTGATATATATAAGAACAAAAAAGTGTTTCATGGAAGTAGACATGGGTTTGAAAAGCACTGACGGTCAGTCATCCTGAAACAAAGATAGCCTGTTGAAGTTTGAACTTTTCCAATAGCCGTAAGAGTGGTCAATTTCCTAGTTTAAGCTGAAGATTTGAAAGAGAATGTTATGGGGGATCATAACATCTGGGTAATGAAGTGGGAACAAGTGTATTTTGATCAATTAAAGATGAATTCTGCTTGTGCTTCGTCAATTATTTGAATGAGATTCTCCCTTTTCACCTAAAAAAGATGAGTTCTGCTGAACAACCTTCCAGAAAATGGCAGGACAAAACGTGACAAAGAGCTGTGCTTCTGTGTTTATTATGTCACTGATGTTGTCTTGGCAGCGGCCATTTTACTTCTGTTTGAGTTATTAAAAAACATGTTAATTGTTTAATATTTGTCTGACAACTCTCACATATGGAATATGTTTGTACAAAAATTAAAGCGCCTTCCTGAAATAGATTCAAGTGGGCCAAGGTGAACAGTCGCTGTAGAGTTGAGACAGGTTCTGATTATGCAACTTGTTAGTGGATTTTATCTTTGTATTGTATTTATTGTTTTAGTTGTTTGGTGTAGTGGGTGTTTTTACAATTTATAGTGTATATAAATACAATGTGTTGATCGCAGTGATATTTATCAGAAATTCAGCAGGCGGTGGAAGAATGATCAAGAAAGGTAATCAAAAGTCACTTTTTCTGTCGTGCAGTTCTTTGGATTGTACGGGAAGAAGAGGATAAGATTCATGTTCAAGAATGTTTGCCTCTCGTTCCAGTGTGTCAATCTGGTGTTGAGATATTACTGTTTTTCCCCCATAGGTTATTATCTAGTCAAAATAAAATATGATTCTTAGCCATACGATTTGATATAGACTATTCCCTGACTTGAAACCATACTTGTAGGATTGGTGTAGTGATGGAATTTGTAACGCACTTGTAAAGAATGGTACAATTTGCGTATAATGATCCGGCGAGGAGAGCATAAACACATTCGGGTGGCCGTTGTGAGAATAGTTTTGAGCGTTGGGTTTCCCTTATCCCCACAGTGTTTGTATGGATGAAACAAATACCCGTGATTAAGGATTAACGAATATAGGTTTTGGAGAGAGAGTGTGTGTGTGTGTGTGTGTTTCATTTTCGCCACCCAAATAGTAAATGCACTTTGAAGTTCCGATTGTTTCCGCAGCATCGGGTCATGACTGCTAATTCTGTAGACACGATATAGAGATATCGTAATTTTAGAGCCGGTAATAGGCTCAGCCTGCCAAAAAAAAACCGGCTTGGGTTGGCAAAATGTTATTTCGTCAACACTGTGGGCGAGCCGGTTGGCGGGCTGATCCTTTTTTTTTTTTTTTAATTTTCATATAATTCCCAACATATTACACAATATAATTAAAATATTTTGACCTTCAAATTCTACATAAACAATTGAACATTGTCTTATTCATATTATTGCATATATAATTAAGCAATATTTGTGACCGTGTGTGTAGTTATCTAGAGAACATTAGCCATCTTTTATTTTTTATTTATTTGTAGCATTACTATATAAGTCCTTATAAGATTAAATAAACATGTGATACTTATATATATACATAAAATATCTACTTAATTAATTTGAATAAAAAAATTAGTTAAATTAATTATTTATAAAAAGTATGTGTTATTTTTAAAAAAATATCTTCTTAGATTATAAATTAATATTTATATTATTTTATTATAACCCACTCTTAAATTTAAGATTCCAAGCTCAATTTTAATATTTTAAACTAAATTCAACCCATATAACAATAATAGTTTTTTATTAAAAAAAAATTAATACGGGCTGGTGGGTGCCCAGGGGTTCATGCTCCTGGTTCATGCTGGCACTTTAGCCCGCACTGTTTTAAGCCTGTACTGTCATGAGTTAGTCCGTATCCATACCCCCAGTCTGCTTTCCCATCTCTATATCATATCCCAGAGAATGAGACTGGATTTACCGGATCATCCTCCTGGCAGGAAGCCAAATTTCGACTTGTCAAATCCAAATAATACAATTTAGCGTCTGACCAAGTTTCGAGGAATATGGCCTGTTGTGGTCAGGCAGAACAAATTCTTGAATTTAAATTAAAAATAATAATAAAATTGGAGTTTTTGGTGAAAAGGATATACTTAGGGATATAATTTTAGAAACAAAAACCGGTTAACTTAAGTGCTCATGGATCATTATGCATGACCTGATGTCTCTACGAGAGCGAGAGAGAAGACAAATATCAACGAGTCGCCTTTGATCCGTGACTGACCTTGTCGAGATGCCCAGGCAATTGGCTGGAAATTCCAAATTTTGTGGATCTAGGTGTGCTTTGGTATACAGTGACATGCATAACACTCTTCTTGTCCTTGACATATGACCTAATTATTAAGTTGATTTTGATAATAAATATAAGACTTATTTCTTATATTTATCAATTTTTCTTAAATTACCCCTATAGATATTCTTTCAATCATAATCAAATAGAAGAGAAATGGAAGATATTAAAAAAGATGATTATGATGTTTAAAAAAAATCTTATATTTCTTATAATTAAGTAACTTACCTAACTTCCTTAATCTGATCAAATTAGTTAAATAGGTCTTATATTAAGGATCAGAAGAATAATTAGGGACAGGAGCAAAATGGCTGGAGTTGAAACATATGATATACAGAAACGCAGAGAACCAGTGCGGACGATAAAATAGAGTGTTATTGTGCGAGGGAGGAGACATATTTTCCTTTGCTGAGTTGTTCAGAATCTCAAGACAGGCAGATCGAAGATTCCATCAAAGTTGCTTCGCCCAAAAAAAAAAAGACAAGAGTTGAGGGGAGGGGGTATAAACTGCAGAGTAAAACGTGTTAAATATAATAAATACCACATAAATAATCCTTTGCCAAGTTACCCAGCAATTTTTTTGGTAGTATCATCAAATTACCATGTTCATGCCAATCCATGCGACATTTCGTGTCAGCTAAAATGAATTAGAAGGATGTGCTAGTATCCTTGTAGCTAATGCAGCGATCATTACAGCAATTCCTCGCTTTAAGGCGATTCGAATTTGACTCTCACGAACACGTTCATGCTGATTTTTCATGCCTGTTTAGAGTTTGAACTCTAGTTTCTTCTGGATTGATGTGCTTGGGAAGCTAAATAGGAAGGAAATATTTCCAGGAAATGTGTACAGGATGAGATTAAGAAAAAGATACATGAGAATTCCATTTCAAAAACGAAAGAGAATAAGCTGGCATGACTCATCAGACCATAGTGGCTATGCCATTGAATCTTGTTCTTGTCCTATCAGTTTCAAGCGAAAGCCCCTCTTCCACGGTTTTCCTCTTGTTAGTATTGACTATCTGCACTGATTGTTGATGTTGTTGTTCTGCCAGAGGTTGTGGTGCTAGTTGAATCTCTGGGGTTTCAAGCTTTCCATCTCTTTTTTGAGCTTGATCCTTCAATTTCTGGGTCTTCATCATATGGGGTCTAAGCCTATGCAGATCTGCTGGCTTCACTGGTTTCAAGAAAAATTCCTCTGCCCCTTCTTCTAGGCATTTGCTAATCCTGGAAGGCACATTTTCGGATGACATAATCACCACTGGTATGTTTCTCAGAGACGAAGATTCCTGAAATACCACAAGTAATGGCCTGTCATTTTCAACTCTAATGCCTCTCAGGTAAAATTTGCTAGCACACACTTTTCAGAGATTCTTATAGAATTCTTCAGCTAATTCCTAGCTAGCGGCTACTGAAGCGGGGCATTTTTTAAAAGCAAATATTGTGACCGTATTATACCAGATTCGTTTCGAATGGGAAATTGTAAATCAGCTAGGAATTGATATATGTTATATGGCAAAACAATAAAACTAAGGAAATTGACAGTTTCATGCCATTTCGATATGGGATTCAGAGTTTCGAAATGTTGAGTCGGGTGTTTCCAATAAAAGATGAAGGAGGCACAGGTTCTGTATTTTAAGTTCTCAACTAATAGAAACAAACAGATTGTTTGAAAAATTAAATTACATAACAGACGAAGAATCGTCAGAACTAGAAAGCGAGGCATACCTTGATTCTCTTGAGTAAGTCATAGCCAGTCATGCCAGGCATACAGTAGTCTGTAATAACAAGGTTCACATCCACTTCCTGGGAAAAACGCAAAAACCAGGAGAACTTCAGGTCAGACATCCAGGAAAAGAAAGTTGGTGGGGAAAAAAAATGGAAGAAGAGACTGGGGGAATCTCATACATTTTGAGCAGAAACAAGAACGAACAATACCTGATCACTGTGAGGAGACACTGAAGGTGTATTAGGATCGGTCTGATCATTGTCACGCAAACCCAAAAACTCTAAAGCCTTGCTACCGGAATCGACGGTGGTAACTGTCATGGACATAACGGAGTTCATTAAAACCGGATGAGGAATCAGCGATCAAGAAAAGAAGAGGGTTGTTTTATCTTACCTTCATAGGAGGAGGTTTTGAGGAGCCTCTCAATAAGCTTCCGGTCGATTAGGCTGTCATCGACGGCCAACACGTGAAATCGGGACTCACAGGCCATTCCCATTTTCAGATGGAAAATCAGAAACCCAGAATCGCAGGAAGGTAAAGGCACGAGAGAAGATGAGAAGGAGGTAAGAGAATGGAAGGGAAGAGAGAGTTGGGTTGGTTGTCTGGTTTTCAGTTATGGAGGAGGAGGACCGGGGAAAAAGATAAAAGGGAAGAGTTTTGTATTGAAAAAAGACACATCGCATCGCACAAAGCAAGATCCGACCAGATTTCATACCAAATCCAAATCTTTCAAAATTTTCCAACTTGATCTCTTCATTACAAGGCAAGCGTCGCTAATATTCAAACAAATATATAAATAAACAAGTCCTACTCAATATATTTTTAGGCTGATGCAAAGGCTGGGCTTTGTTTATTTATTTTGTTATACGCAGAGGTCACCGGCCCTTGATATGCACAAATCACCATACTAGTTTATATACCAGAGAATCAACACAAAGATCAACAGGGACTACTATAATAATCAGTATGATTTTGATGAAAAATTAAGCATGACTACAGAATCGCATTAATATGTTTTATGATTTCTCTTATTAAATGAAAATTATTTTCGTATAAAAAATTATAACAATTGCTTATTGACAATAATAAAAGGGTAAAAAAAATATGGAATTAAAACTAAAAATTGAAAAAATAAGACTTTTATTTTCCTAATCAATGCAACCAGATGAACTATGATGCTCATCAAAAAAACCAGATAAACTATGATAGTGTTTCGTAAATATACCAAAGCAAGCTTTCACCTCTTTATTGTATACTTTATGCAGTCTATGAAATGAGTTTATAATATGTAAATCTCATATCAGATCGCAAAATGGCAATAAAATTCTTTAATCCCTCCAGTCAATGGCAATCGACGATGAAGACAGTTTTTTCCCCCCACACGAGGACGGTACAATTTTCACAGCAAAAGGTGACGTAAAAATTTTTTTAAATTCCAAATAAATTAGAAAAAATGGCAAAAAATAAGACCACTAAAATACCAAAAAAATTATAAATAACGACCCATAACATCATTAGTATGTGTTTTTAAAATAATTTTTGTAAACGGGTCCTGTGTGTAATTTTTCTATTTTGATGTTTTTTTTAATCATTTTTCCAAAAAATTATGTTATTTCGTGATATTATTAGTTATGGAGAAACATATTCACGTGAACAATTCCTTGCTGGAGGGAACCAAAAAGGTTTAATTCCCTGTTGGACTCTTGAGACATTACCTGCCAAATGTTGAATAGTGATGGATACCGTCACATATAGGCCAGCCCCCTTATTATTACTGTCCCCAATCCTAATTATAAGACCCAGTTGACTAATTTAAAGAGATTAAAGAATTTAGTTCAATTAATTATTTGTCAAGAATAAATGTTGTCTTTCCTAAAATATCCTTACTAATCAAGTGTATTGGCTAGAACTATCATTGTTAGAAAAACTATCTTGAAAGAAGTGGATAATTATTAGAGATAAAGTAGATTGGGGTTTTATATTTATGATTAAAATAAAAATCAAACAGAATTTTATA